TAAAAAGTATAGAAGGAAGGAAGGAGAAATAAAAGAAAAGCATAGAAAAAAAGAAAGAAAGGTTTGGAAAAATCTCCACTATAAAAGGAGAAAGTAAGAAAGACAGAAAGAAAGAAAAGTTTGAAAATATCCCCAATAAACAGGAAGGATAAAAGGAAAGACGGAAGGAAGGAAGGAGAAACAAAAGAAAAGAAAAGAAAAAAGAAAGAAAGGTTTGGAAATGTCTCCATTAGAAAACGAGACCCTGCAATAATATAAACGTATTGAGCAGAAAAACACAGCACCGTGTATGAGGTGTTTAAATGACTATTAGTGTGTAATTATGGTGTGGGAATGCTCTGAAATGGCGATGGCACTAAACCAGCTGACTGTTACTGCACATTAAACATTATTCTACATAATGAGCACTGACTGAGTTTGTTTCCTCCACAATAATATGAAGACACAAAGCTGAATGTTCTAACAGGCGTCCACAGATGGTGCTTCTGAAACGCTCAGTTATCATAATCCTTGTTACTGAAACACCACACAGAACATTCTGTCACTGAGGATACTGAATCCTAACGAGGATATCAAGGGGCGTGAGGTGTGAGAATTCATTCAGTATATGTATTAATATATACACCCTGTATATCACGTCTAAGAAATGACCTCGAAGGCCGCACCGTTACATAAGAATAATCCAAAAGCAGACAACTGTCTGTTGAATAGCTGGGCTGTCTGATTGCTGGACATTTTCCCTCTGACCCTTGTTTATCTTTCCAAAACTCCAAAACAAATCTCACTTTATACCTCACATGCAGTCGAGCTACAGAAATTCATGAGGGGAACGTTTGGTTCATTGAAGAGGGTGAAACCTTTCCGGTTAATGCTGCTGAATTATTGAGGCAATTTAAGGAGCTGATTAATTCTGGCTGCTGTGGAAATCGCTGCACTGAGCTTTTCCTCACAATGAGCTCCGTCACTTAGACATGAATCTTTGTGTGTCGTTTTAACACCACCATTAGTACTGAGCAATTCAGAACACGGCTTCAAAGCATGTAACCAGTGCTTGGCAAGAGCTCATGGCAGTTGGTAAGCAATCTTTATTACACAACACTACTGAATTCTCAATTCTGATTGGTCGGGAAGGTGTTTATTCAGTTTCGATAACAGCGTAAGAGTTGTTCTGGCAGCAAGGCAAATCACACTTTTATATTATTGAGTCATTTTTTTTAAAGTTTCATTTGTATTGAACATTTCTGCTGAACATTTCTACAATTCTACAGAACATTTCTACATTTCTACGTTTCGTTTTTATTGAACATTTTTGCTGACCTTCTGATGAACCATTTCTGCTAACATTTCTAATAACCTTTCTGCTAAACATTTCTGTTGAACATTTCTGCTAAGCCTATCTAAATCGCCTTTTCTGTTCTGTCCTCCCCACCATTTCCCAAAAATAAAAACAAATTGAGCAACAGCAGTAAATATTCACAGGTTTTTTTCTTTTTATACAAAGGAAAACAAAATTGAACCCTCAACCCACCCCTCCGGCTCATCATGGCTGCCCCTTAACTGTCGATGGTTATAGAGATATTATAAAATTCAACAACAGGCACCAACCTTACAGTGGGTAGTGTCTGTAACTCCATAAAGTATGCAATAAAGGGATGCCATTTATGAAAAAAACTTATCTGTACATCCATTCATCGTATATCTTATTTTCTCGATTTTCAGAAAAAACATCACGTCCTTTATCCACTGGGAGATAGATGGGTATTTAACAGACTTCCAATGTAACAGTAGGGAACGTCTTGCTATAAGGGATGTGAAAGCAATAACATCCTTTTGTATCGAGCTCAAAGGAATTGAAGCTTGAGGAATCCCAAATATCGCAATCAATGGACAAGGCTATTGAGTCTTTTCTAATGCTTTATCATTTCTGTAGTAACACCTTACTCAGGGACTCTGTGAGCAGATGTTTGTTTAGCATTTTTGGAAGGATTCTCCAGTTTCAGCGCTTTGTAACAGTCGGAGGTAAAGCTATAACTTTTTTTTTTTCCGAGATGAAACTCTTCAGGATGGAGGGCTTTGCTGTTTCTGTCAAGCTGCTTTTTAAAACATTTTTTTCAGTTAGTCTTACTAACTTCAAGAGAGAAAAACAAGCAGCTGGTGAGGGAATGACTGTTTATATCAGTTAGAATGTAAGTGATAGCAGGAATTAACATGTTTTGTGGAGATATCCACAATATTTAATGTAACTATAATAAATATAATAGAAAGTACACCATGTCATACTTTAATAAAAAAAAAAAAAAAACATTGTTAGTGCTGGAAAATTGTTATGGTACACTGCAAAACTGACAGTTAGTAAAAAATGTCTTCAATTTTGTCAAAAGTATCCAGAATTTTTTATAGGATTAAAAAAAATGTTAAAAAACAAACAAAACCCCCCCCCAAAATAACAATCCAGATAAACCCAGAAAAAAAATATATATATAATGTTTTAAACTTATTTCTAGATCTTTTAGTAATTTCAAGGTTGAAATATTCTTGTGGCAGATAATATTGTGAATTTTTTCTTAGAAAAAAGCCAAACAGAAAAAAGTTTGAACAATTTCAAGAAATAGGTTTAATATTATATTTGGTTAAGTGTATGTCATGGACACGCGGGAACTAGCCCCAGACTACGATTCCCAGCAGCCACTGCTACGTCACATGACTGGTTACGTCTGATTCACGTTTGCCGTTTATGAGCACGGGTATTTAAGCCACAAAGTGTCTTTCATTCTTCGTCTTTACGTGTGTGCCTTGATTCTATTTTTATGTTTTATTCATGCTTATGTGTCTTACGGTGCGATACACTGTAAGACACATAAGCATGAATAAAACATAAACATTGGTTTTGGAGTTCATGTTTTGTGTTTTGTTTTGTTTGTGATTAAACCTTAATCTGCACTTGCATCCGTCTTCGCCTCCATAGCTGACAGTGTAATCTTATAAAAGAAAATACTAGATAAATTTGACTATATTGAAAATATTTTCACTTGCTAAGATGTCATTTTTGGCAGTGTACAGTTGCAATCAAAATTATTCAACCCCCCTAGCAAATCAGGTTTATTGTCAAAATGTACAGACTTTCAGCTGTTTGCAATGAACAAATCAAACCAAAGCAATTGAAATAGTTCAACACAACGAATGGTTCAAGTGGTTTCCCGAAATTCAACTGAAACTTATAATGATTTCTCCAGGCTCAAAATTATTCAACCCCTTCATGGCAAGTATCTTCAGTACTATTATTTTGGAATAATACATTATGTTACGGGACAATAATGAACTACGGGGTAGTAACAGCATCACCCACTCTTGATTAATTTCCTAAATCAACGTGCCGTACAGTGTTTAATTCCTTACTTATATTATAGTGAACTGTTCCAATATATACTGTATAACATCCCTAATGTATACTTGGAGAGAACTACACTAAGTGTTTACTTAGAATAATCAATATACCAACATTTCGTATATATGTATAATTAGGTATACTGTACTTCAAGAGAAGTGCACAAGATGCCAAGCAACTTTAGTAAAAACTAAAGATTCGGGTCTAATTATATCTGGTCCAGATTATATTACACAGTACAGTACAAATTATATATATCAATATATAATATACTATATGTGCAAAGTAATTCAGAGGTGCTATATGAATATAGTTGACCTTACTTGACCTCACTTTAAGTTAGTGTTTTAAATACAGTTCCCAATTTGAATGGCAACACATAAATTAAAAAGACGTGTCAGCTTCATGTGTCTTGACCCAGTTCAGTCAAATATAGATCTGGTACAAGGATAGTAGTGTACATGAAGTAAAATGTAAATGTTAATATATTATACAATATGTATTTCATGCAGTTATTAGTTAGTAGTAGAATCTCATTGTTGAGGCACAGATGACTTACAGCATTAAATAAACACGAGTAAACGAACAGGATGATTAAATAAATGCACCCCTTAGAAAAGGGAAACATGCACTTACTTTTTGCCCTCTCGTTCTTCCTGGAGGGCCTCCAGCGGATGCAGGACTTGTGCTCGTCCACGTAAAAGTACCGTACCAGGCCCTTTGAGCCACCTCTCAGTTTCACCATCTGAGTCCCTGTCTGCATAAAGCTCATGCATTTCTCCACTGACAGAGACAAAAAGAACACAAGAAAGAGGATAGAGGATTTTTAGTCAAACAGCAAAAATACATTTATCCTTGCCCTAAAGTAATAGTTTGCTCATAAATGCACAAATTGCCAAGATTACAACTACACATTACTACTGAAACGGTCAGTAGTTAATCCATTGTAAAGTCCATTGTTAATCTTACACTTGTATTTTTTGTACTGTAATTCTGTGGTTATTAGTCCATGTAGTGCATTGCATGTTACATCATAGTCCTGGAGCCACAATATTGTTTTGCTCTCAAAAATATATATAGCATTATGATTGACAATCCTAATTAACATGTAAAATAAATACAGGCAAATGGTCATTCGTAAATTATTTTTGATGGTTGTTGACCTGCTCAAGTCAAAATGTATATAAAAAAAAACTTAAACCAACTAAAATACCATTAAATATAATTGAGGGCATAATAACACTGTGTAAAAAAAGGATGCATAAACATAACAAGGCCAATTTAGTTGAACTTTGTTAATGAGTCTTTATTAATCAGGTATACAGTAGAGCACAGTGAAATTCTTTTCTTCGCATACCACAGCATGTTAGGAAGCTGGGGTCAGCAGTGATAAGGGCCTTGCTCAAGGGCCTAAAAGCGGTAGCTTGGCAGTACTTAACCTTGACCTTCCAATCAGTAACCCAGAGCCTTAACCGCTAAGCCACCACTGCCATGCTATGTTAACAGCATTTGGCGCTCTAGATAAGTAGATGCCCTTATCTAGAGCGACTTACATTCATCTCATTTATACAACTGAGGGTTAAGGGCCTTGCTCAAGGCCCCAGCACTGGCAAATTAGCAGTGCTGGGAATTGAACTCACAACCCTTCCCATCAGCAGTCCAACATCTTAACCACTAAGCTACCACTGCCCGAAATTTTACAGCTACCATTGCCCAAGACGTTATAGACACCATCTCAATAAAAACATATTTGGAAGGTTTTGCAGGAAAGACGTTTTTCCTGACAATAACGTACAAAATGCAGAATGTGAAATTCACCAAACGGAATCATGTGTTGTGGTCGGACGAGATGAAAATCAGACTTTTGGCCATGACCATCTCAGTCTCCAAATTTAGAACATGATCTGAATTAAAGAAAGTATTCCACATGCATAAAGCTAAGAATATAAAGAAATTTTAAATATTCTACATGGAGGAGTGAGCCAAGAACTGTCTCCACCCTTGTACAGGTCATTCAAAATCCCTTTTTCCACTCACATGATAAACATCTTTAAGTACAAAATGAGGTTAGAGGCATTAGGGGGTAAATCTGTGATCATGGCTTGTTGATCCGCAGTGTAGAACTGACCACACTGATCAAAGTGTTACATTCGCTCACACTCTACCATCTCCTCCAGCACTGGGCCATGTTCAAGCAGCATTAATAATTGAGGACTGCCCTTCTGATAAGCACAATGCTGCAAATTAGACGGCCCTGGTCATATAGCCAACTCCAGATACAAACACTGATAAACACTGATAAACAATGATAAACCGAGAAGAAAAAAGGAGCACTTAAGGAACATACAAATTAAAAAGAAGTGGTAGAATGATCTCATGTGTACATGGCTAAATGACCTCTAGTAGCTTGCAATGTCAGTTACTAGGGCAAGGCAAATGCCATAAACTACAGTATATTAAAGCCAAAGTGTACTCGAAGAGGTGGACAAATCAGTAGCCAGGGTGCATGGAACAAGCATAATTTGTATCTGGACTGCTTTAATTTGTTTAGGTTAAACAACGAAAAAATCCTATTTCTTATTGACTTTCACAAAACAAGTTCCAGATTCCCACCTCCTTCTGCACTACACACAGTGGCCAGGGTGTGAGCAAAAGAAAAGATCTGATGCAAAACCTCATATAACCCACCTGGTTACTTCGTGCAGTGACAGAATTGCCTCAAATACTGTCATAACTTTTTTGGATGATGATGACAGATCACCACAGCTCACTACAGCTGTTCACCAACACCTTTTTGTTTACCACCCCATAGGTTATTATATTACATAAGCTAAATTTTTTTTAGCCAAGTCAATTAAGTTTGTGGGCAACAGAAATATGGGACTGGTCAAGCACATTGGAGCTTTTACTTTGACTTATGTCAAAGGTGAATCCAGTGGAAAAACAGGATCCAAACTGAATTTTATTTCATCTGCACACAGATTTGTTTTATGTACACATTGCATGGGACATCTGTGAGCCATTACAGCACTGAATCTTTACCTTCCATCTTCCCTTATGAGTTTATAGATGATTTCTTACGTGCATAGTTTTGCTGTTAATAGCACTCGGTTTATAGACTCCATGAACTGACGACTCTCTGCAGCACCATGTAAACTACCCAAAACTACAGCTAGCTAAAACATCCAGGGTTATTTTTGTGTGTCTGCTCCACCTCTTATACCAAGCAACCCACTTGGATTACAATCATCAAATATTAAAATATTATGAAACCTTACAATGTTTTTGAAACATCACCACCCATCCATCCATCGACTGTAGCACTTATCCTACGCAGGGAAAGCTTATCCCAGCAGACTCGGGGTACAAGGCTGGGGACATACTGGATTGGGTGCCAACCCATAGCAGGGCACAATATCACACACATTTACACACTATGGACAATTTGGAAATGTCTTTGGAATGGGGGAGGACACCAGCGAACCCAGAGGAAACCCCTGAAGCACGAGGAGAACATACAAGCTCCACACATACAAGACAGAGGCAGGATTTAAACCCCCAACTCTGGAGGTGCACACTAACCATTAAGCAACAAGGGGAACATCACCAATGGTGCATAAATGTATCATGAAGGTTGCAAGTATATACACTGCGAATTATAATCACAACATAAACACTGCTGATATGTTCATTAACAGGTTTGGGAATACATGTAACAGCGTTACATTACCTGGATACAAAACACTGGTAACTGTAACCCCTTACAGTTACGTCAAAAAACAAAGTAATCATATTACAGGTACATTTTGTAAAAAGAAATACTATCAGGATTACAAATTGAAAAAAAAAATTTAACTAAAGAAATCAATCATTTGACATAACACAATATTGACAGCGGATAGTCGTGACTCACGTGAGCAACCTCCTGGTGTTTGCGCAAAGTTCGTTTGGGTAGAAATGAAGACAAATTGTTCTCTGAAATGTATTTTGCGATGTAATGTTACCCTACATCAGCGACAGTGATCTTTTATTTCATTTTCATTTTATTAAAACACTGAAGTCCAAACACTGATCATGTTTTTAAGCTCTAAAATAATCTCTAAATAAAAGTACATTAGATCAAATTACTTTTCTCTTGACTTTATTTACATTTCTCAGCTGGAAGTAATCAAGAAATAGTCAGATTACATTATTTTCATATTGTGATACTTGGATTATGTTAGTGATTACATTTTTTATGAAGCAATGTGTAACCCTCCCAGCCTTGTTCATTAACAATTATAGATTCTAATTATAAACTTGCAGTTCATAAAATCCACATCATTGCCTTTACCTTTGAGCACTTTTTAAAGGCAATAACTGAAACCCGTGTCAGAAATACTACAATCAAAGCTGGATATAGCATTTCGAGGCCTATTTCATATATAAAGTTATGTCTGGGAATATTTCTCTCTCTCTCTCTCTCTCTCTCTCTCTCTCTCTCTCTCTCTCTCTCTCTCTCTCTCTCTCTTTCTCTCTCTTTTTTTTTCTTTTTTTTTTTTTTTTTTTTTTTTCTCTTTCTTTTTTTTTTTTTTTTTTTTTTTTTTTTTTTTTTTTTTTTTTTTTTTTTTTTTTTTTTTTCTTTCTTCTCTCTCTCTTTCTCTCTCTCTCTCTCTCTCTCTCTCTTTCTCTCTCTCTCTTTCTCTCTCTCTTTCTCTCTCTCTCTCTCAAAAAGGTTGATGTTATCTTGTTACTGTTTTATGAAACAAAAAAAGGTCATTATTATTTAAGACTCAGTGAATATAGGCACATTTTAAATATACAAAAGCAGCTGAAAACAGCAGCATAATCTAAAATTAATCCTTGTTGTGTAGGCTTCTGGGTGAGTGACACTGTGTCTCCTGCACTATTAAAAACTCTTGGATGGCAGCTTGTGCCCACAGTGCAGCGGAAACCTCTTGCTAACTTGTTAGTCAAGTCAGACATCCACGTTCTTAAACTCAAATGTGTCAAAAGGTTATGCAATTCTCATTATTCAATAAAACGTGATGCCAAAGCTGCTGGCCATTAGAAAGCAGCTACTTGTTTTGGCCAAATTGTGAGGGCAGCACTGCATACCCTTCCATCCTAATGAGATGTTCCAGAGGTTCAATTTGTGGTTCAAATTCTGCCCAGGGAGAACGGGTAAAGGTAAACATGCTGCAATAAAAGGTCACAGGAAAAATCATGTGAAAATTAATCTCAGCACATGCTGAGGCTGTTGGCTAAAATTCATTCTGGTTCTAGCACATATGTAGTGAAAGTATGCTTACTTCATATAGACACTGACACATTTCTTGGTACTGAGAAAAGAACAGAAGATTTATAATTCTCATTTATAGTGGAAGAGTAAGGTCAGCTCCGTCAATCAAATCCTTACATTGCATGACTATACAGTATAATGCAATGCAGTTGGAAACTTCTGTATTTGTGTTTACTACATCTGTTATATCCTGTGAAATAGACATTGTGTCATTTTATTCAGTATGTGCCTCCAGACGAAAACAGATGGAAGCCTGTTTCCAAGTTATAGTTGTTGTTTTTTTTTTAACTTAATTGCACCATAGACATGCTTATAATGTGCAAAAAATAATACATGAAAAGGTGGCCAAAGGCTTTCTGTATTATATATTGTCAAATGATTTTTATACTTGATACGTGATGTGCAGTATGAGGCAGGATGCAAGTGTGTAAAGCCTACATGCTTTAAACGGGCACAGTGGTTTAGTTGTTAGCACATTTGTCTTGCACCTCCAGCATTGGGGATTCAATTCCCACCTCCCCCCTGTGTGTGTAGAGCTTGCATGTTCTCCCCATGATCCGGAGGTTTCCTCCGGGTGCTCCGGTTTCCTCCCTAAGTCCAAAGACATGAGCTGTAGGCTGACTGGCATCTATAAATTGTCCATAGTGTGTGAATGGGTATGTGTCTGTGTGATTGTGCCCTGCAATGGGGTGCCAACACCCTGTCCAGGGTGTTCCCCGCTTTGTGTCCAGAGTCCCCTGGGATAGGCTCTTGGCTCCCCATGACCTTGTATAGGATAAGCAGTACAGAAAATGGACGGACGGATGGATGGATGGAAGGATGGACATTTATTGACACCCCAACTACTGCCTTTAGACATATGTTTAAAAAAAGGGTTTTGTGTTCTTTTCTCAGTACATGAAAAAGTTTACAATTATTGAATATAGTCACAGCACAGTATGCTGCAGATGTTATGGATACAGATTAGGCTTCAAAACACTGAAGTACGCCTTTACTTTACTGGGCATACATTAGAAATCTACCCAGAACATATGATCAAGGATAATGGGGAATGCTTCGACATGTTTAAAATGCATTTAAATGTCATAGCACCCAAATCAAGCTTAAGTAAATCAGTGCAGTCAATGTAGAATGAAAAAAATCACTCTATCTTAGGCCCATTTTGTATTAGAAGCAAAGAAATAAATGCTATAGCTGCTCAACAGGATCAAATTAACAGGCCCATTATGAAATACAATATGATGGTCATTTATTAAAAAGTGGTCCACTCTCTCACGACTTGTCGGGGACCTCTGAAAGCTGTGAGCTCATTAGATTTAATTGCACCAGACAATCCGTTTACACCAGCAGCTAGAAAGCAACAATGCAAAATGTCACATATAAAGAGTACTCAGAGGAAATCCACTGCA